CCCTCCCAAATTCAATTCTCTCCTGGAGAACGTCTTCGTGAGCCTCTCTTGATTTCAGGATAGTTGAAACCCTCTTGAACATTCAGAAAGAGTGCATATGAAATTCTAATCACGAAAGGTGTTCCGCGAGGGGATACATACCTAGAGTTTGTTTTGTGAAGCACGTCAATTCTCTCCTGGGGAACGTCTTCGTGAGCCTCTTAATTCAATTCTCTCCTGGAGAACGTCTTCGTGAGCCTCTCATGATTTCAGGATAGTTGAAACCCTCTTGAACATTCAGAAAGAGTGCATATGAAATTCTAATCACGAAAGGTTCCCCGAGGGGATCGAAAGGTGTTCCCCGAGGGGATACATACCTAGACCCTGAACTTCAAACAGTAGTTAAAAAAACCACTGTTGGCATTCAGCGGTTTATTTGCCATTTCCTCTTTTCCTCAGAGGTTTTCTCGTCTGGTAAAAAAACCACCGAGACATCCAGGAATGCCGTTGCAAAAAAACAACGGTTCTTTGTGCAAAAAAACAACGGTTCCTGGTATACCAGGCTGACACACATGAGTTTCTTTTTTCTCTTAGCGCTGTCGATCCATTCGCTTCCTTGCCCCGGCATTCAACCTTGGAAGACCAACAATTCATCTAAAACAGCTTGTGCTTATGTGCATTGTCACACATACAAGTCAAGAAACAATGAGATTTTGATGTCCATTGAATGCACACGTAGTTTCGTCAACCACATCACCCAATGAGCTCTCCGTCTTGGATGCCCTTTGAGTGCTGCCCCTGGGTGAACACAGGCGTAGTTTCAATTTCACTCGACACATCCACACCATGTTCACACACAATATGTGCCGACTGAAGTGCCCTTCAACCACCGCATGGCATCTTCCTCCCGATAACAGTGGTAAAAGCGCATGTTGTAGAGGGATGATTTGGAATCGCGGCCAAGCTTGATGACCATCTTAGCAAATTCAATTTTGTAAGGGTCTCAAATTGAATTCAATCGCTCAAACTGTGGAAAGTTGCGAAACTTGCAAAGGTTCAAATCTGAGCTACCAAGGTACGTGAATCTTTGGTCGTAGTCGAAACTCATCACGGTTCTCCCTGGGAACTGAATAAAACAAGAGTTGTTGTCATGCTGACGTCATGACTGTGTCCGCTGTACACTCACTTCCTGCCTGACAGCGTGCCGCACCAACGTGATATAGCGCTTGGCCAGTCGCTGGGTCGTTTGATAAATTGCACTGCCTTCCTCGCGGGTCAGATACCGTCCGGCGTGCTCACACAAGCCGTGAAGCTTGGCCAGTGCGGTCCTGAACTTCCACGACAAACAAATCAATTTGAAAAGTCCTGAAATTACTGAAACACATGCATGTCTCTTTATTTCAACTGCATAATTCCATAGAGGCACATGCAGGATGACATCACGGCCAAAGGTCGATTGGGTTCAGAGTCAAAGTCACCTGACCTGCTCGCAGCGTCCTGTAAACAGGTGTGAAGCCACTGCGAGATTATTCGCCCGTTAAAACTCTTGGCGGTCCACATGATGGAGCCGTCTCTCTTGAATACCTTGGTCTCACAAAAAGGGTCGACCAACAACAAGATTGTTCATTTTCTGAAAAAATAAAGGTTCCAAATTCCAAAGCTTCTTTCATTCCCACACCCAAACACCATGTTAGCTCGAAATGGAGGCTGAGAGCAATGTATTCTAGACGCACGGAGCCACAATCTAAAGTGGTCATACGCCTTGTCAAAATGAGATTGATCACGCACTGGCAAACCACCTGGGGCATGGAAGTAGTTCATCTCGAGCAACGTCAGCCTGCACTCAGCAAAGTGTTCCCAACCCGACGATGGAACAATTGGAAGAAATCACAAAAAAGTTCAATCACCAACATACGCAACGTACTATCACGCACCGAGAAGCAGTCCACACCCGTTGATGTCATATGCAATTCCCAAGTTGATAACGTGCATAGAGCATACTTTCAAAATTTGCGGATGGAATCCGGGTGCTAAAATGATTGGGCCTAGGCTCTTGGTAATTCGACTGGGACAGCCAACAAAAAACAGGAGATTTGGGTTGATCCATGCATGCATACCTGCTTTTGCAGGTCAAGGCGCAAGGATCAGGCTTTGTAAGTTGTCTTGCAAAAAAGGCTCCAGTATCAAATTCTTCCCATGCAGGCTGGTCATCCCAAAAGTTGAAGAACAGGCCAGCTTCATGACCCTTTCCTGCAGCACTGCACCTGTAGCATACGTTCTTGGTTTGCTGCCAGTTTCCAAAAAAGCGGAATATCTGGCGATGCCACAACCAATCCCCCTTGAGCTCTGTCAAACAAAAAACTCATCCATTGGCAAGAAGGCTACCATCTGGGTCCAAACCTTTGAATGCAATGTTCAATGAGTAGGCGATCCGCCTGTAAACTTTATTCAATGTGACGTGTCGGTAGAGCTTGTGTTCCTCGAGTGCCCACAAGCACCAGCAACCGCATCTTGTCGAGTACGGTCGCCACAGCGGCAATGACAAGAA